TCATAACTACTAACTTCTGTTTCATCTAATTGTGAGCATTAACTTGGATAATGCTTCTGTTACTCCCGAACGTTGTTGCACAAAATTTGTAACATCTTTTCCAATTATTCAATTCTTGAGTCAAGTATGTAATCGACTTCAAACTTGTGTTTCATCAAGACTTTTAAACATCACCTTTTGTTGGCTATCTCAGCAACCAATAAAGAAGATTCAATGTCCAAACTCTCTATTTAACTTGATCGATTGATACTATTGAACCCTATGTTTATACAAAGAAAGAATGTCAAAGGTTTTAATCGTCAAATAGATGGATTATTTATTAGCTATAGCATCAAGAAATACTCATGACGTTGTCTGGGAGCATTTCAAATTTGCTGATAATACAGGGCCTTGTTTTTCAATAAGAACGCATGAAACTTTAAAGATGATGCTTGGATTTGCTATTATTATTGAAACTCCAAAAGAAAATATCCCAAGATTTTGCTATGTAAAGTGGTCGTGATTTCTAATCCAAAAATGTTTTACCTAAAAAGTTACATAAAATTGGGTTTTCAGAGTTTTGTGCACTTCTATTGAAAAGCCTCCATACAGCAAAGTGTAAACAAATATTGCACTTGAGATAACATTTTATTTATTATATAGTGTAAGTTTATTATTAAATATTGTAATGTGATTTTATTTCGTTGCTATGATGACAACCTTAATATTTCTACTACTTCTACTGCCTAAGAGTAGATTCTTGTATTCATTCAAAACTGAACTTTATTCCCACCAAAATTTTTCTTGTATACATTTTATTTTCCCATTCGAGTGGTATAGTTCGTGTAGGTTAACATTAACATATAGTAGAATATCAACATACACTAGCTGGACAAAAAGTATTTGATCACGTATTTACACTAATTAATAAAAAACCTACATGACAACATTACACGAAATTTATAACATTATGCACCTAGGTTTTGATAATTATATATTCGAAATTTCACGTTGCTAGCTTTCATGTATCAAGTTCAATAAAAAAATTTCAAATTTTTTTATTTTTAATCACTAATTTTCTAGACATGATAGAAACACGAAATTTCATATATTTATTTTTCAAAACAATATTCCTCATTTATATAAAATTTACAATTTTTTATTATGTGAATTTTTAAAAAACATGAAAATATAGCAAAATGTTTAAATTTTTTATTTGAATTTTAGTTTTTTTTTTATTAATCTTGATACTTGGAAGCTGGCAACGTGATATATAATTATAAATTTTGTGTTGTTATGAATGTTTTTTACTAATTAGTGTAAACACGTGATCAAATACTTTTGTCCAGCTATATATTGATATTCAATTCACATGATTGATAAAAAAAAAATGATATCATTTGTTATTCTTTTTTTTTATCAATCAACACGTGAATTGAATATCAATGACAAATCATTTATTTATAATAAATCTTACATAAATACCAGTATCCTTTTCTTCATATATACACTAAATAATAATAATAATAATATTCCCTTTCATACACGCAAATTACAACAAAACTAACAACAACAATAAAATGTCTGGAAGGTAATCAATCAATTAACAAATATTGCGAGTGAACACTTACAAAAATCCAAAATAATATTATATTTTATTGATTAGAATTTTTTCTTGTTACAGAAGAGCTGGACGTGAGTAAGTGTCCATCATAAAAATGATGGTTATTGCCACTCGTTGTCGTTCTAGTTTATTTAAAAGAATGATGACGGTGGTTGCGATTGTTACCACTTGTCGAATGAAAATGTAAGTAAATCATACTCTTTTGATAAATTGTTCTTTAATTATTTTCTTAAATAAATTTAAAAAAAATTTTTTTTTTGATAGAATGACATCATATCATCGTTTGCAAGGGATATTATAGTAAGAATCACTAAAATCCTCATTGAAAAATTTACAAAAATTTTCATTAGATATGAGGAAATTGACGATGAACTTGACGAATCAAATATTGGTAATGAAATTAATAACTTTAATTTCAATAATGCCAACGATATTGGTAATGCACCAGAAGAAATACCAGAATTTGATTCACAAAGGATCGATAATGATAAACCTTACACCACACACACTTATCTTTATAAACCAATCACTACTACCAGAAATAGGAGAAATATTAGATTGGTATTATATTTTTTGGTTAGTTTATCAATTGATTGATTGTAATTTTTAATATTATGTTGTGGAGGGAGTAAGTATTTAACAATCTTTGATTTTATTTATTTTACCTTTTGTCAACCTATGCATTAATTTTTTAAAAATCTTACAGAATAATTACAACCTTAGAAAGAGGCAGGTTGGAAAATCTGCGGTCTATTGATGGCCTATTAGGTCCATTAACGTAATACTTTAACCATATTTAGTATTTTATTAATGGAAATGGACCAGTCCAAAGTCCATCAGTTCTCAATGGACCACTCAGTTTGCTAATCCTGGAAAGAGAAAGCAAATCGACTACAATACCGCCACATCATATAGGAAGCATGTAAGTATAAAATGAAATATTAATATTAGACATAATGTTTTATTTAAAAATTTTTTTTTACTTGTATTTATAGAGATCACCAAGACCAAGACTATCACCAAGACTATTTGAGGTATATATATGATACAAATATAATTATATTTTAAAGATAAAATATTAAATTTTTTTTATTTCTTTATATATAGAGAGAATGCACAAATTTGTGCCCGTTACATTGTTATCGGTTGATTGGAATAAAAATTTGTACTTTTTTTAATTTAGATTTTTTATCAAATTGAAATATAGAATTTTAAAAAACATCTTGTAATAATATTAATAAAATATAATAATTATTAATTTTTTATTTTTAAATGGTCGTTGTGAATATGTAGAATTTGATTTATGTTGTCCAGGTGGCTTATTTAATTAACTAACTGCATTTTGTTTAGGTGAAGACGCTACTTTGATCTAGAGCCCTTCAATGGGCCGGTTTCCTTCTTTGCTAAATAAAGCGAAACCTTTTTATTGTTATTAGAGATAGCCAAAAACAAAACGATAATGTTCTATATTGTCATCTTTGTATATATTTTAAATTAATTAGTTCTTATTTTCCAAATTGGTAACGCTCTAAAAAATTTTTGTTCGCTTTTTCGGTTAAAGCCAATAATTATGTTGGGTAACAAACATCGCTTCAGA